GACGGACTGGAGGAGATTGACTTTATCAGGCACACAGACAGAGGTAACTCAATTCACTTTCATATTTGCGAAATACTTGTATTAACATTGTACGCTTTCTATCTATAAATCGTTATTGTGTAGACTATACATGGCTTTGGATATAAAACCAGTAGATTAACTTTGCCAACAGGGAATTATATCGCGTGGCAAAATGTTTCCAATCTCAATAAACAGGAGTTTTACCGGTTGTATATATTTTAGTTATCCACCTGTTGCCTATTTTAGTAAATTCACGATGTGTACTGCTGTGTTTGAAATGTGTGCAAGACAAATAATTGATGTCTCTCTTTCGTTCAGATTTTGGGATGCGCAACTCGTGCGTAAAACCTTGGCACTTTCTACGGATCGCGCTTGAAGCAACGAGAGGAATCACCACGGCTTGAAGCAATTCGTATCTATTATCGTGGAAACGTTCAACCTTCATAATCTCATTGTAAATCTTCGGAAACGGGGGAGGAGATATTTAAAGAGGAGGGGAAGGGTATCTTGTATGAGGGCAAACGCAACAAAGGCAGACTGAATGTGATGTTCAAGCCGACTTCAGAAGGGAAAAGTGAAGGGGAGCACCGGTGGAGATAAAACGATGTGTCGACACTGGACTTTGAAAATCTACCCTGACACAAAACTGCTGATTTAGGGATCAAGGACACCGAGCATCCTCAGTGAATCACAGACCAACTCTGCTAGGGTGAGATTTTCACCAGACATAATCTGACAGGATTTATATTCATGCATACGATGTTTTTATGTCTGTAAAAGCCTACAGTGAATAGGAGTGCATGGGAAAAGGTAACATAATTCGTTGATGTTTCTCTTTTTCAAACACCCTATTAACTGAAACAACAGTGAAACTATACTGATCCTAAATTAATGTTGGACTGCTGCTCATTGACTTCTGCTGGGAACTGTTGCTCTACCGACTGATCCTCTACACTGATGTAATTGAGCCTTTTTGTTGGCTGAACTGTGCATAACTAACGTTTCACGCTCAATACCAAATTACTCATGTATCTTGTGAAAGAGGTGTCTAAAAAAAGGGAAACAAATACACCAATGATTTTTCAAAAAAAGTAATTTGTAATATATTTAAAATTGGTTAAAATTGTTTTCACAATGCTCAGAGACTCTTAGTGTTTTCAAACATGGAGAATGTGTCCGTCTCTGGTGGGGCACCCCCAGTCTGCAACGACTCTGTGGATTTCTACTCCCTGACATCCGGGAACAGCACTGACCTGAACTGCACTCTACCTTCAGAGTTTTACTTCTACGCTGACTTTTACGTCATCTTACCGATCATCTACTCTGTGATCTGCGCAGTGGGACTGACAGGCAACACGGCCGTCATCTACGTGATCCTCAAAGCCCCCAAGATGAAAACAGTAACCAATATGTTCATCCTGAACTTAGCCATCGCCGATGATTTGTTCACTTTGGTGTTGCCGATCAACATAGCCGAACACTTGCTGCACTACTGGCCTTTTGGTGATGTTTTGTGCAAAGTCATCCTCAGCATAGACCACTACAACATTTTCTCCAGTATCTATTTCCTGACTGTCATGAGCATTGACCGCTACCTGGTTGTTTTGGCCACAGTGAGGTCCAAACGCATGCCTTACCGCACCTACCGAGCAGCCAAGATCATCTCACTATGTGTCTGGATCCTCGTTATCCTCATCGTCATGCCTTTCACTGTTTTCGCCGGCGTCTTCGTCAACCCAGACGATGGGAGGAAGAGCTGCGTGCTCAGCTTCCCCAGCCCCGAGAGTTTCTGGTTCAAAGCGAGCCGGATCTACACACTCATCTTGGGCTTCGCCATTCCGGTTTCCACCATCTGCATCTTATACACCATGATGCTGTACAAGCTGAGGAACATGCGGCTCAACAGCAATGCCAAAGCGCTGGACAAAGCCAAGAAGAAAGTGACCATCATGGTGTTTATCGTCTTGGCTGTGTGCTTGTTCTGCTGGACGCCGTTCCACCTCAGCACCATTGTGGCTCTGACGACAGACCTGAGGACCACGCCACTCCTGATCGGGATCTCCTACTTCATAACCAGCCTGAGCTACGCCAACTCCTGCCTCAACCCGTTCCTCTACGCCTTCCTGGACGACAGCTTCAGGAAAGCCTTCAAGAAAATGCTGGAATGTAGAACGGCCTGAATGTACCATAGTGTGACAAATGAAACCTGTTGCAGAGATCTACAGAGATTTGCTGAGTTAGGACTGAATGTGATGGAAAAGTCTGATAGCAAAGATTTATGTTCAAATCTAAATTCACAATGTCTTTTTTTCGCAGATTTGAATTGCTTGGTTTGTTAAAGCTGCACTAGGCAAATATGCACTTTGTTTGCACATGATAGCCACAGGTAGCTATCTTTTGTTTTGTCTCATTTATCCTTGATATAAAGAAAAACAGGCCTAATCAAAGTACACAATATTCTTAATGTGACAACACACGTCTATAAATAATTCAAACTATAGTAAAGGATGTGAAATAATATTTGTAAGTCCAGCTTTTTCTAGACAGAACACTGTTTGGGTTTCACTTTACATTCATCACTCAATGTGGTCGGAGGTGATCTCATGCCAGCCAATCTCAATCACCTGATGAGACACGAAGATCTTATTTATCCGTTCTTTTTTTGTTTTTACATAATTTGCCTAGTGCGGCCTTTAATGGCTCTGAGAGCACAGTGTAAGAGAGAACATATTTAACTTTATAGAAATGGGCAATATTGTTTGCAATAAGGAATGTTTGACATCCAGGACAAAATATAGCATTGAAAACAACTTGCTTGTTGTACTGTAACTTTGAGCTGAATTACCCATCGTCTTTGTTTACAAGACAGGTCATTAATTCGGATCATTTTACAGTTAAAATTATGTCAGACATTTTCCATGAGGATATAAACATGTAATTGTGAGGCAGCAAGCCAAGACGTGCATCTGCAAACAGTTGTGACCTTCACTGAACTTCAACCCAACTGAGAACTGAGGATTGCCTCTGAGGGAGGGAACATCTGCTGAGTGGAGAAAATACAGTTCAACACAGTGTCATTGATTTGCATGCTGTCAATCAAATCAACTTCATGAGCATAGTCAGGGTTGGAGGGTAACAGGATGCATGTCAGGCCGTTATTATCCATTGCAAAAACTTGAGGGAAAAAGTTGGTTATAAAAACAACATTTTATGAACTATTGAGAAAGATTATCTGATCATGAATGTAAAAACGTAATCTGCCTTTAAATGATGCTTTGTTTTGAGTTATATGAAAGCAGATAAATTATACATTTGTAAATTACTAAAGGTTTTAAGGTTCACAACCAGGTGTACAATGATCATGATCCATTGGCAAAATATGACCCGGACAATGGACTCTTTAAATGAGGTCACTGCTTGGACCAACAAGTTAAGTAACACCTAACAAAATAAAAAAATGTAACTTTACCAATCCTGACACAGTACTGTAGGTCTGCTATTAGACAGGCATGGGACAGGAGGGCTATGTAAAATATAATCTGTGTTTCTCATCACATCTTAATTTTCTGTGAGCTTTTGTCGCCCTCTGTTGTCAACAGGGCTGTGTTACGTGAACATGCAGCCAGGCCCTTTTATAGAGTTTGTGGCAAAAATGCCCTTAAGGGGAGTTAAAGTCTTACACAGCTTGTTTCAGTGGTTTACAGTTATTCCTTCTGTTGTCGGATATTATCTGCGATTCAATGAGATTCACAATCAGCATTTATTGCCCATCTCCTTCGTGTTCCTGTGTCACAGTTGAAGAGCATGAAGACATTGAAAAAAACATGATGATGATTTACTATGTCAAATCACAACACCAATACAACAAATATACATGTATCTACTTTGATTAAAATTCAGCAACATAAACTCATTTTCAATTATTCTACAACATTGTTTAACATAATATAAAGACATATGGAACATATACATTTGGTTGAGCTGGGTTGCTTAAAATATTTAAATGCGTGTACTTAATGTAAATACATTTATAATGATTTAAAAGTGTTGTTTATCATGTAATGTGTTTAGAGCTTTATCCATGTGCTTGAAAGTTGAAAAAATAATAATTGCCTGATCAAATTCACAGGAGAGTTACAACAAATATTGAGACTTCTGAAAAGTAAGACAGTATTCTGAACAAGAACATATTGAAATCACTTACCCAGAAATGTTTTGCAAATCATGACACACAACGTCAGTGTAACTCCTTTCAGGCTGAACTGAGCAAACATCACAAGCTTGCAGCAGCAGCAACTTCTCTGTACTGTGTGTCCTGCTGTAAATGGTTATTTTAAATCACAAATTGTACAATCATAGAAATGTATAGTCAAATATTCTTCATTCTAATATGAAATTGAGTTGAAGATCCTGATTCAATGTATTTTATGCAGCTTGTTATAAAAATAACAAAATATCATGTCATTAAATGTATTTATGAATTTAAACCAATCATTCATGTCTTTCAATACCTGATAATGACTGAATAAATATATAATATATTTTCCCACTGGTATTCATGTATTTTAGATATAAAAGAGTGACATTTGCTTTATTTGAATAATACAATAAATGTGCAAAAATATTTCTGTTTCACTGACAGGATTTTACCGTGCTGATGTATACCTACTTTAGAAACAAATGAGGATAGATTATTGTTATTATCAGTGTGATCAATGGTTTGGGTCAGGGTCACCACAGAGATTTGTTACATGGGCAACCACTTCAGCTATCAGCTGAAGAGCAGCAGGATGGATTAGTGGTAAGAGCTACTTGTCTGCGAAAGGTCACAGATTAAATCTCGACAACAGCCTACTGCGTCCCTCATGTAGCGCTGAGCTGTCCAACTGTACCAGGGACATGGTGCAGTGCTGCAGAGTTCTCAAAACAGTTTTATCAGTTTCAACAGTGAACATTAATACCTAATAGCTCAATTCAATATGTTCACATAACGTTTTGGGCATTGTCATTTGTAGTAAAGACCGTGCTCTTAACCCTTAGATGCACGAGTGACTGGACCCTCTCTTCCATAAGTGGGTCAAAAAGGACCCGTATTAGAATAATGTGTTTTAATGCCATTTTTGTCATTTTGGTTAAGAAAAATCACATGTATAATATTTAGTATTATATTTTGTTTCACACTAGAAATATTTTAAATTTAATTTTCCACTATTTATAATTTTTACACATTTTTTTTTACATTTTGAAAAATAACGTTTTGAACATATTGATGCAAAGATCTCCGCTATTCTGAGACCCTCACAGTATTCCAGTCCCTTTTCAAAACCCATCTCTTCTCCTCTTGTACTCATAGCTCACCCCCCATCAATCCATGCCGGTTGATTACATTACATTGCATTTAGCTGACGCTTTTATCCAAAGCGACTTACAATAAGTACATTCGACCAGGAAGACACAACCTTGAAGAAAACAGAATCATATAAGTACATCAGGTTTCATAGAGCCAAACATTTCAAGTGCTACTCAACTGGCTTTAGATAAGCCAGTCCTTTATTAGTATATAAGTGCTTTGTTAATAAATCTATCGCTCGAAGTGGAGTCGATAGAGATGAGTTTTCAGTTTGCGCCGGAAGATGATCAAGTTTGATAGTCCCATACCCCCCACCCTAACCTTCCCTTATATTGTAAAGCGATTTTGAGTCCTTGAAAAGCCCTATACAAATATAATGTATTATTATTATTATTATTATTATTATACTGACAGGTATCAGATCTGGCTGTGTAAAATAATCTTCCTGAGAGGTGTCACTTCTGATGTAGTCTGTGTGGTCTACAATGTATTCCTGACAGCCACAGGTGATAAGAATAAAAGGTTCCCATGGATTAAGTGCGTCATTTTTGACCCACTTTTGGAAGCTTGGGATAGTAAGTTTCCCCCGGGCGCTGTACAATAGCTGCCCACTGCTCCAAGTACTAGACTCCTGGTACTAGGATGGGTTAAATGCAGAGAACACATTTCACTGTGTCTATTCTGTTCTGTATTATGTAATACAAAAACTATACAATTTCATAAAATGTATAACATTTATATTTAAAATTTGAATGGTATGATATCCAAAACATGTTTTATGAGGAATAGCTGGAATATGAAATGATAAAAAAATGTAATTATAAAGATACTTCAAGAAAACCACCTCACCGGGTCAAAAAATACCCTTATGCGTCTAAGGGTTAAAAATCTACCTGCTACTACCTGCCCAGTACACAACGTCAGACAATTCGCAACTAGCTGGTGAAGATAGTGGGAGACCTGGCAGCTAAAACAATTTTTCTCAGGATCTGGTGGAGACCAAACCAGAGATAAAAGGAGAACTGAAGGACAGGTATTATACATGTGTCTTGTTGTCATCAAATCCCTGAAAACTATGTAATCATCAACTTATTGATCCAACTAACACGTTTTACCTGAGGTTAATTTATGTTGTGTCATAGTGCTCTGTCGTTGTTCAGAATCTATTAAACACATCAATGAACCCCGTTATTAAACCGTGTGACATGTTAGTTTATATATTTGTGTCAACTCGTTTCTGCTGCCCTCAGGTGGCCAAAAAAACAAGTTAATTGCAGGTTTCACAACACTAAAGTGCAGGTGTGCTGATTACATGACACATACAATATACCTTCAGAATCATAGTTTTTAGTTTGTCGATCTATCTGCTTATCGTTGTCCCTTTCCCTAAACAGAAGGGCATTACCTGAGGAATAACATGTTTAATTCAACCCCTAATAGTGTGAAGCATATTTCTCATTGCTGGGGTGGAAATCAAGCCGTTTGAGTGAAATGCATTTTAAGATAAAAATGTATTAATTGTGTATCCTTGGCTGCGTCTCAGGTCGACTATTTTCATTTCCTCTGTCCTCGGTATCACCGGAAGTTGATTTGTCTGCGCCATCTTGAGTAGCGTCAATGGTAGCGTCCCATGGTTCTCAGGCCCAATCCCAAACCACTCCCTCGACCCTACCCCTCCGTGATGGAGTGAACTCCGTCTGTAGCCACACTCGCAGCTCAACGAGGCTCCCTCCTGTCAGATGGAGGGAGTAAATACAGCAGCAAGCTTTGGGACGGCCTCCCCTCTCTCCGGCAGAAAACAGGAAATGCCGTAACTGTGTGTAACAACGGTTTCAAATAAGCATCTCTTAGACAAAAAGTTTAAATGAATAACTCAAATAAAACTCCAAACATCTTTCATTGTGTTTCAAAGCTCTTTTAGTTTTAAACCTGATGTTTATAAGCTTCTTAGTTTTTGCAACGGTCTGTAAATATACACAACTTTATAATAAAATGCACAATTTTACCTTTTTCTAGACTAAACACAGGTATGATCATAAGTTAAAAACATATGAGGTTATCATGAGGTTGTTAACATCGCAATGTATCAGTGGATGTTTGCTGGAACTACTTGCAGTGCTGGAATTGGGCCGGTACTCACCGGTACGCAGTACCGGCACTTCTGGTTCTGACCCATGGAGTACCGGCACTTCTTGCTCAGTACCGGCATGCTGGCGGTACTCCGGTACTCATGCACCGTGCGAGTACTCAACACTCTCCCGCCGTTCTTATTATACATCCATATATATATATACAGCCGCCCGGTACTCAGTAGATGCGTCATGAGGTGCCGAACGGACATTCTCATCGCTCTAACCGCTGGAGTTTCACAGCGGCTGTCAGCTGTTTACTCCTGTCATTCAAACAGAACGTGCTGGAGAGGGGGCGGGGCTTATCTTCTCCATGTAAATACTGTGGTGGAACGACTATGTCAAAATTAACCTATTTGACCGTGATTTAATAGTAATACACGTTTCAAAATAATAATAATAATGCCGAAGTAACAACATACTGAAAACTGTTAGTAAAACCATGTTTTAATGCTTTACAATTTACATACCTAGATGCACGTGTGTTGTGTTTATGCAGTGCAACTCCCACCCAGTGGGTGGGTATGTAGAGTGATAGAACAGAGCAGGCACGCCCCCGAGAGAAGGAAAGCAAGTCACGTCACAAATTAGCATTTCTAAAATGTTAGCGTGGATTAATAAAAGTGCAAAAAGACAGCGGTTGTCGCCCGAAGAAACTTCAAATACAGAGAATGCTGTGCCTGTGTTGGAAATTGTGTCTGATGGGGAGCTTTCTTTGGTTGATCCTCCTGCTCCAAGTTCTAGTGCATTAGCATTAGCACTAGCTCCGCCGCCTCCTCCAGAGCCTCTAACGTTAGCTGCTGCTGGCGCAACTGCCACCACCAACACCGGGCAAAGCGATGCACCTGACTGCTGGACAACGGACCAGGTGCAATATTTTTGCAAGACCAATGCATGGCTCCTTCTTAAAGATAAGAAGCTAGGATGTCGGATATGCAGAGATGTCAAATCTTTGGGAATACACACTGGACAAGGACTGAAACTGTCAACTGAATGGGGTGAGTGTGCAGTGTCTCATTTCGGTGTTGACAAGGGCAAACAACAAGCTAGCCTGAGAAAAAAAAATCAAAGAACATAAAGAATCACAAGCCCATGTAAAAGCTGCTGACATCCTTACATCTGCTTCACGTGAAACTATTCAACATCAAGTGCAGTCTATGCATACATCTGAATTAGACACCACTATCAGAGTTTTTCGAACGGCATATAAAATTGGCAAACATAGCCGGCCATTCACAGACATGCCAATTGATTTGAATGTACAGAAACTGAATGGGCTGAACGTGGGCAGGGTTTTGCACTCCAATAAAACCTGTGGCGAAATCATCGACCACATAGCTCATGAGCTGAAGAAAAAAATGGCAAAAGACATTACAGAAAACCAAAGAAAACTCTGTGTTTTGGTCGATGAATCTACCACTATTAGTGGTAAAACGGTTGCTTGTTGTGTGTCTACGCTCAGCATTAGCTGATGCTGAGCCCGAAACGTTTTTTGGGAGCTGATCGAGTTGGATGGAACAACGGCTGATGACATCACAAAGGCGTTAATGGAGTGTCTTGGAAGAGATTTTAACGAGGACTTTTTGGGTCAGTGTTTCGTTTCTTTTGCATGTGATGGGGCTTCAGTCATGCTAGGGAAGAGAACAGGCGTTGCTACCCAGTTGTGTAGTAAATTTCCAAGCCTGTTTGTGTGGCACTGCTCCAATCATCGTCTAGAGCTGGCAGTTGGGGATGTGGTCAAGGAGGTCTCAGGGCTCAATCATTTCCAGATCTTTTTTGACAAACTCTATTCCTTGTTCCATGCCTCCCCCAAAAATCAGAGGCAGTTAGCGCAGTGTGCGCAAGCAGTCGGACAGCGTCTCCTGGTGATAGGGCGTGTTTTGTCCATCCGCTGGGTGGCTTCAAGTGAAAGGAGCGTCAGAGCAGTCTGGGAAAACTACCGAGTGCTTCATGATCACTTCACAAATATTGCAAACGACACGAGCAGGGATTCCGGAGACAGAGCAAAGTACAAGGGCCTGGATGATGT